TTAACTAGTACATTTAACAAATTAGGTGCCAGACCGCAATCCGAAAGACGTTGAATGAGAATGCCGTGGTCAGGTGATCCGAAAGCATTAGCATAATCAAGAAAAATCAAACGGACGATGACAGCACCTTTGCAGAGTATCCGAACGAACTGCTGAATGAATGTATGGAAGCTTCCCTATCGAGTCATTCTGTCCACTGAACACAGCAGTGTGATGAACAACTTATGAATGACCATCTAAACCTCGTAATGATTTTTTAAAGGTTCACGCAGTATGGAGATCAACAACTTTCAGATCCATCTAAGGTTTCTTCCAAGCACCACCCAAATTTTAACGGCATTCAGTCAGAGGCTTGCTAAATGCAAAGGCATAGTTTTTCTCCATCAGCTTTTATGGTTAGCATGGTTATACACTTCACTGTTGTATGCAGTGCTGAGAACTATAAATATGCTTACAATAATAAAACTTGGTAACAGTAGCATTACCAAACATGTGACCACCTGCACACACAATTATTCAGTTATCCTATTTAGAAGAAGCATCGTTAGATTTTAGGTATACTTCTTCGATCCGTCAAATTAAGGATGCACTTGAGCGCGAATTTCATAAACAGACAACGGTGCAAAATCCACAACTTCGTACCGACGATGAATGCACTGATATAAAAACATCAATAGAAAATTGAGCCATGTCGTTTCTTCTTCTCTTCTGATAGAGCGATTAAGCGAAGTTTATCGATCTTTGGGATCGATGAAATTGCTTCAGACCAGACCCGATCGATTCGCTTGGCTATGCTACGCGTCAAACGCAGTGAAGATGGTCGAACTCGATTCGATTTAGGGTGAATGAACGAAATTACCCCCCCCCTCCCACTTCGCTTATTCGTACAAGTCAGAGTGGAAATTGCATTGCGTCCGCTAGGTCGCGTGGCTATCACAAAGTGGAAGCTAGGGTGGGGGTGGGGGTGGGTTGAAGACGTCAGGCTGAGACCCAAGTTATCAAATCAGCGCGATGCATCTAACTGAGGCCGGTCGACACAGTTCGGTTATAAAGTGATCATCACTCGTTTTAGTCAAGATTTGAACTTGCCCAAAGCATAGACGCGCGTGTGCGTGTGTGCGTGTGTGTATGCGGTGGACTTTAAGCACTCATCAGTTGAGGAAAGACTCACGCCACGCGAGGCGGCACAATACTACAGACCGCATCACGGTCAGCTGATTTACAGCAGCCTGCTCATCAAGGTGTCAGAAAAAACAGTCTAATTTGTGATTTAATTCTTTTCTATCCTCATTTTATCAACAACCAAAAGCTAATAACGCATATATTGTGTGAGAATGGAACCTTCCAGCTTGTGGTCCACGCCACGCAGGGACTTTCGCAACACGCACATTTCCGCTGTGCCAGAATACACAGAAAGCACCGGTTTGACTCCAACCCCGACGAACGGTACGTATCTTTCTATTGACAAAGTATTGAAAATCGGTTCTCGTAGCTTGGGTGAACTAAATTCCATTTCGCCTGTTCGCCGAGCTTGGCAATTTCTTTGCAAACCTCACATGCACCGATGATGTCACCTCGGTTGGTGTGATGAAACGCTTGCAAACAAATTGCCAATCTCAGCGAACAGGAGATAAGCAATTTATCTTTTTGTTTTCTTCAAAAAGGGAGGCTTCAACATTCAGCTTTATTTTTGGTGAACCATATGGCAGTTTTATCGAATTCATAGTCGAGTGGAATGTATTTTAGCTTCAAACTAACAGGAAAAGTATAAACGAAGCTGGAATATTGAGTAATTTGTTATCACTGATTGTTGTAGTCATCCTTCCAGTAAGCTGCATTGGAATGTTTTGTCATTTATAGACTCCGTTCTAGGCAGACTCTGTTGCTCTCATTAGGTCAGTGATACCCTGATTATAGTTCAGTAGTTTGTATCTGCCGTATTTTATTGTCGAGTCTATTCCGGTCTCCTGCTATGTTTTGGATCGGGTCTGAATAACTTGAACCGCAAATTAGGAACATTCTGTATGTACCCGTTTATTATTATTATTTTCATTGTTATTATTATTATTACTAAAAAGGTAACTGCGGGGGTATCTTCTGACATGTGGAGTATTTTTATGTGACTCAACTTACTGTTGCTCATCGAAATTGACCTCATCGATTATCGAGTATTCTTGAGCGACAATCAGCAAGTGACAATCAAACGAGATATCTAACTGATCGAGCATGCGCCCATTATATCGCCACACCTCGTTAGATAACGAGATGTCCACACATTCTGTAGGATCTAACTTCTTTTTATTAGTGGTTTGGATTTATGTTTGGCATTCTCCCTTCTCTGGGGTATGTTCTGGCCAAATGTGTTCCCCTCCCAAGTATGCACTACTGAACCGAAATTTGTCCTTTGCCCCAACAGTTCACTGCTACCAGTGACTTTGATATCGTTAACTTCTGACAAATTTAGTGTTGAGTATGCTCACCGAGACGGACTATGTTTGAGATGCGGCTAAGAATGATCAAGTTTTTTTGGCTCGATACCACTTGCGCTCTCTGGTCTCTGAAGTTTGTGATCTACACTCCGCCAACGATAGCATATGATGACATCTTCTAGTGCATAAACACGTCTGTCCAACTAGAGCTGTGGCTCCCTGATCTGAGTACCAACGGGCTAGGGTCACCAGTACCATTAACCGAAGTGTAGGTGATATCCCCGTAATACGTCGAGTTGTATTCGTTGCTGGGTTTATCCATTTGCTGAGTGTAACCACGGGTTAACAACCAAAATCACTGCATCAAAGTGATCAGTTAAATCATTCGTTACGGCTTACCTGAGGTTGACATCGAGAGAGACCGGAGACGGGTTGTCATCGGCAGATTTCACGATGATGTTATTGCGGGGATGGAAGTGGTTGGATTCAAAGCTTAAGACAGTTTTGTACCAACAAGCTAAATTTTTCGCCACTCCCGTTAAAAGAAAACAATAGGCTGATCAGTCATCTACACCGTCCACCAGGAATGCTCTTACAAATACCCCCAACCATAAGCCGAGGGATAGGGTTCCTCTCATTTTAGGTACATCGAATTGATTTGTGAAGCATATGTCTATTTCCAAGTTCATAAACACTTTGGTTCCCTTTCACCAAAAATCGGATCATCTGTTTATTGTGTCGGTGAAACACCGCAGGGTACGAAAGCAAGTCGGAATTTCTTGAGCGGAAGAGCCGCTTCAACGATGCACGTTTTTCCTATGTATCACTTCGATTCCACGCACATAATCCCTGAAAAGATTGATAACTGTTTTGTGACTTACTGTGTCCAAACGTATAATTTGAGCAAAACAAATAGACTATTAGGTAACTCAAAATCAATTTTGATGCTCAGACTGATATATTTTTCGGACACATCAAGGGGATCGAACCTACGACTGCGTCCACATTTTGATTTCCGTTATGATGTGCTTTTTAACTGCTGCCTTTTGTTTACGGCCTTCATTTTGGTGTCCCCATACAAGAGCTCTCTATGCGTTTGCATTACTGGTGCCATATCACACTACCTCACACGCTCAACTTAGTCACACCTTCTGATTTACCCCTTTCACATCACCGTGCTCTGGACTTCACATGGAGGCTTGTTTCAACAGTTTGTTTACCCACTCATTCTTGCTGATCGACGATCTGGATGGGTCAAATATATTCAGTGTACACAAAGAGAGCCCGTTTACTGACCTCACGCAGGTTTCCGATACTTGAAAGGTGCTGAGGAGTAGGAGCGGGAGGGGTGTGCGTATGTCGGATACAGTTCTGGGGCAGCCAGTATGAACACGTGCAGAGTGCATTGAAAAACATCGTTTGCAGTCTTAGAGTTAGTTTATTCTGTTTTTATGGCACGTGCAATGGACACAACTGATATTAGTGTATTATATGGTGTAGCAAATGTTTAGAAACCCGCCGAACAGAAACCATTCACGTTTTAAATAATACTTTGGCGAACGAATTCCATTTTCAAAACAACGAAACACACGCTCGTTGCTATAGGTTTTCAACCCGTTCTAACTTCGAGTGACAACATCTAATCATTTCTAATTATTTCTCTGTACCCGACTAATATGTCTTGTCAACTGGGTCTTTCAATGCCGAAACGTAAACAGGCTATCTCATCTGGTTCAGAAGCAGAGGTGATTTAACTCATTGGGTTATCGAAGATGGATTTACTTGCGAAGTTTGAAAGAAACAGATCACATTGCTTTGCTCGAAATGCGTCAAACATTTCTGAAATGTGGAATCAATCATAGCTTCGTAAGACATGTACGCCTTGCTGACATGAAGAGCAATTCTCGCGAAGCAGTTTTTATATTAACTCTCATTCAGTATTCAGACGAATTAAAATGATGTTTGAGTACAATTTAGCGGCGAAGCAAAGAGACATGTAAAGGCACAGATGGTGTACACAGACATTGATATGTTGTTTCAAACATAAGGTCTATAAATAATCTGCTAAATTAAACCGTCTGATCCACATCAATATCAGCATTGTCACATTCACAGCAATGTTCACTCGAAGATGACCACATCTGCATTAATCTTCCGTTCAGAACAGCGAATCAGTCCGGGAAAAGACATTCGGATCGGACGCTGAGAGCAAGCTAGGGTCACCTAACGACGAACGTCGGTCTTATTATGCCGTGTTCGGACGTTAAACAGTGAAATGGAGAAGGCGAAGTATGTACATGCTTGGCCTTCTCGAGGAGAAGCCAGCAGTCAACAAGCTAGGAATTTACTGGACGGCTGTTATGACACAATGATCCATCAAGTGATATGGAATCCATCCCCACTGAAACCAATATTTTAACTTTTTTTCAACTGGCAGAGTGACAGTTTATTCTATTGTGGTCATCATGCGAAGTTACATCCTCAAGTAGTGCCTTGTAAGTTAGGTGTGAACATTATCTCAGACTGACTGTCAATGCCCGATAACCGGGGGATGAGTTCGATATTTTTGTCATGAGCGTTCATTTGCATGCTGGGCACCAGATTGAGGCAATCGCCACTCCGCAAGCGTTTGACTCCAGTCAGTACTAACCACGAGGAATGAGACAGATCGATGAAACAGACCAGAGGGGAATCGGGAGAACGTCAAGTTGGGGAATATATCTGGATGAATTGTTTGCTATTTTCTATGTTCTTTTCAAGTGGTAACCATTACCGCATTTACAGTGAGACAATCTAAAGTCACAGAAATTATGCAAATACTGAACGATACACCTGTGGATGTTTGATACGTTTGATACAGCGAAGTAGTGATCGTGTTCAGGATTTTTGAACCATCACGTGGTAGAAAGACTCATATCTCTCGGCATGCTTATCTAGAGTTTCTTTTTTTTATTTTACCACATTCATTGCAGCAGAACCTGTAGAAAATACGTCACCAAATATCACATCGAAATCTCCAATTTCAAATCTTGGAGCCTTTTCAAAGTCTCAGGTCCCATTTCAATCGACAGGATGTACCTACTCGACTTCAGCATCAGTTACATTGTCTTCTGGAGGGAGGCCTTGTTTAGCAGGTACTCAAACCGTTCGGCATCAGACGGGATTGCAGAACACACCATCTCGAGTCATAGGCGATTTGCTCAACACAAGTACACTGAGTGAGTACACTCACGATTCCAGTGGATTCGGCTCGCTCATTCACGATCAGAGTGGTGCGAGTAATTTGTCCGGATATCCACGGAGTGCCGATCGATCCGGGGCACAATTTCGATGGCAGACTCACAATCTCACTTCACTCGAGAGTGATACAAGTGATATTGGACTTGATCAAAGTTCAATGCAAGAACCCGGTCGATCTCAGAGTCCAATTAGTCGCACGGACTTTCCCGGTTTGACCACAGCAGTGCCTGTGAAGAGCACAGAGTCACAACCGCAATCTCCTCTAACCGGGGGAGTCACGAAACTAGATGGTGTGGATGAACACGGAGTTATGGCATTCCAAGATACCGCCGTCGACGGCGGCGGTGGCGGTGGCGGGCAACAACAAACGGTTTCGGGTCGACAGTCGCGGATGTTGGAAGAGAATTTGGCATCTGTGGCGCGTTACGTGGAAGAACTAACCGGGTGCGGTACAAGCACTGGTGCGGCAACGGTTGTTCCTTCAAAGTTGTTTAAATCCGATTCGGCGCGTGCTCAACAGGCGCCACAGACACCAACACCCGTTCCTCTTATGGCTGGAGACCAACAAACAAGAAAAGATGCATCAGTGGAAATGAAATATTCGTCCCCTAGTGGAAGCGCCGTCCAAAATCCGTCTCAAACCACCAGTCCATCAGTTCAAGCAAGTCAGCTGGCCCAATTACAACAACTGAATCAGCAGCTGGCTGCTTTGGCGTCCTCCAATTCATCGAGGGCAAGCAAAGTGAACGAGCGGGGTGAGTCTCTTGCATTGCCGACCAGTAATTTAACTCGATTTTGTTCCAACGCAGCCCGATGTGTCCCTGTAAAGCCGTAGTGGTAGATAATCGTGTTTTACGCTTTCCAAAAATTCAAACAAATGAGGGCCAATTCATACCACAAGTTGGTTCACAAAATGCAAGGAAATCGGAGAATAAGTAGCCGAATGTTCTCCGGATTAGGCTGCGACAAAATATTGGATATAAATGAGAAAACGATTATGGATAAATTCATTCCAAACCCGACAACGCCCGATGTTGTCAACTGGTAGATGGTAGGAGAAATTATTGAAATTCCCAAATCGGGTGAGATCTTCCAGTAGAAATTTGTTTGAAAACTGGCTAAGAATCAGTTGTCGACAGGGCAGCCATTCTGCGAATATTTGAATCGTGAACATGGATCTTCTAATAGATCAACAGAGATCACCAAATTGCTCATATTGTGCGCATCTTTATTTTTCAAAATAACTCTACCTTTTTCTTGTGCACAGTTTAAAATTTACATTCGCAATGAGTAATTGGATAGTCTGAGTAAAGAAAGAAAGTAACTTCGAGGTCAATCGTCCCTCCCCATCTTCCCGCCTCAAATGTATCGTCCTAAACACGCCACTACTAGTCTAATGGGAAGCATATGGCGAGGACGTACAGTACGATACTTGGAAATGTTAGCGACACAGGTGGCATGTCAGACTGTCCATTTGTTCTCTGAGCTTAGCAGTGGAGTTAAAAACGTGTGGACAGCAGAAGAAATGTACCGTTAGTAAGGTTTTGTTTGAAGCTGAGACTTGCAACCGAACTCCTTAACTCAGAAAACAAATGAGCATCATAGAATTACATTCTCTGTGAATTCATTCGTTCTGAAGTCCATTGTGTACATTCATTTATATTTGATTCAGTGATTGCCTATCAGATATTCGCAGTGCTAGCGTAGTGTCCAACTTCTGCCATGGAAAACTTCAAAGCTCAGATAAAGCATCTCCTTCGTTCTTAATCACCGAGTAACAAACGGATCTGAAATACTGGATCCAATTAGCTACCGGCAGCGATCAAGGGTACCTTAATACAAAGGTAACCGTAGCCACTTTATTTTGGCCTTAGTAGTCATTAATAAAATATGACTTGCAGTTTATGCAGAATGCCACAAAGATGAAGTCGTTTACACTGGCTCAATAAAGGTTTCTCGTGCAAACGGCGCCATACAGTTACTTACCTCCGACTACCAGCGCGCAATGTTCTCTGGTTTAAGTTAAAAAAAAACTCAGACTGGGACGTTTTGATGATGTATCCTGAAAAACATATCCAAATAGATAGATCACCTTTGTACTGTATTTTATTTTATTTTATTGTATTGCGTGTTAATGACTTCCGCAGGCAAATATGCTTACCTTTAAAATAATGTAAAGAAGAGGGATTAACATAGGTAGGTACTCACTATATTTTATTGACTTTGAATGGTCCAAAGAAGCATAGAAACAGAATGTCAATGGAAATATTTGCAAACCTCACGTGAATGAATGCGTTAAAGCGAAAGAAGACTCCATCTTCAATGTAGATAAGAAAAGTGAAGTATGTCAGTGTTTTCAACCTGGTTTGGGACGTGATCCTTCAAATTCCAATTTAAAATGAACGAGATGAGGCGGAGAAATCACCATAGTTATGTTTATTTCTGTTACCTTTAGCCATCGATATTCTGTTGCTAAAATAGAATAGAAAAGAATTCACTGACAACTAATAGTATAAAGTTTGATGCCTTTCCGCTATCATTTTTTTCAATCAGAACTACTGACTAGCGCGGCCCAAGAATTGCTTCGTCGGTTGATCTCCAACCAACTTCCCGGACTGTTTGATAACGCCACCAATCTACCCAAAGAAATAAGACCGGAGTTTGAGGACTGGTCTGTTGGCTCGGGAACCGCACAAACGAGGACTCTACTGCCCGGAATTCCACAGCAGCAGCAACAACAATTTCAATTGAATCAACCTTCTGGAGCTCGTGGTCAGGTTGCATACGGGACCAGTCTGATAGATGCTGGTACTAGTGGCAGCGCGTTCAGACAGTCGGTGAATCCCTTAATCAGTAGTACACTGAGAGCATCACCTTCAAGTACATATGCAGACCTGAGAGGTAGTCCGGGGGCTGGTTCCGGTAATTTCCGTGCCATGCCTGAAATGCCAACATCTGGACGCACTCAGGCCATGGACCCCACGCTTCTCACCAATATTCTTACTCAGTTGGGATTGCTGGATAACCTTCAGATACCAGCTCTGAGCAGTTCCAATACCCCCGGCACCAATACCGCTACAGGCACACTGAACACGAGTAATGCTGTAGCTCTGTTGGCTAGTCTTCTTGCTAACGGACAGAGCTGCATGTCCGCTGGCAATCAGAACCCGGATTCTATTGCCACGTCAGCCTTGGCAACATTATTGTCGAATTTACAGGCGTCTCGCGACCAGAATACAGGTCCTCGACCCCTAATTAGCCGGGACACACAGCGTCGACCGACTAATCAAAATGGTCGGCAAACAGAATTGGGAGGAGCTGGTCTAGTGAATAGCCTGATTTCTTCCAGTGGGGTATCTCGACCGATGAATAATCTGATGGAAGAACTGCAGCGTCTCGCAGTACCATATCATCAGCTGCTTACAAACATGGAACCGGATATCGAACGTGCAGCAAATGTGTATCGGAACTCGGCCAGTGAGTTTAAATAATACTTCTGTGCTTATGTTCGGTCGCTTGTATATTGGCGCGTTTGACATGTTTGAAACTCAGATGTGGGTAAATAAATATTGTGCTCAAAATGGAAATACGAGGAACCGTTGAATGCCTAACGAAGAATCAACATAGAAGTACAAAAGCGATACATTGTATCCTTTTTATAATTGAAAACTGTTGTTCTTTTTCAAGATTCATGGTCAAAGGACCAGAGATCAATTTACACTGTAAACTGCTAAAAAAACAGAGATATGTATGTACTGTACGATAAAAAGGAATTAATTTGCAAAAGGATGATGGATCTCAATTAAAATCACGGGTTTAGTGAAAATTAGGGATAGCGATTTTTTCCTCACCCGTCTGAGTCGAAATTGGGTACCAAACCAATCACAGCACAACTATCTTTAGAAATAGAAAAAGTTCTACGATCTACTGCTAGGTTGCTCGGAGGTAGATTTGGTTAATTAATTCACCACCCCAGGTTTTGGTTAGCCAAAGCCTGACCCGCAAGGCAGCTGGGCGGTGTGTGAAAAACACGATCCATTAGGCCGGTGCCCAGTTCATCGGATCATACGCGCTTTGAGCGGGGTCAAACGTCCAAAGGGCCCAGCACACACACCTCGGTGCCCAATTGAGCTGGTGACCACTGCCACAACCAGAAACAAGTGTGCGTTTGCGTGGTTCGTAAGCTCCCTCTTGCTTGGTTTGGAATCAAAGTTTTTGGCCAACTCTCTTAGGTGAACTATCGCTAACCCGGTGATAGACCAGGATGTCGGCTTTTTGTCCGCTCACTTTGGTAGGAAACATCTCCGCCACGGGAATGCAGTGAGTAAGGTTTCCTCAGCAGAGGCTGTTTGTGACCCTTAGTCGTTCTGAGGCATTTCGTAAACGGCAATGGAAGGGTGACCGGTCAGAACCCGAGACATCCACCCACCCCCAACCATAATGAGGCTTTCGGAAGTAGGAGTGGAGAAGTTAAATACTCGTGACACTTTAAGCCCGCCTATGCGCATTCAGATGGTGAAACCGAATAATTGTCTTCACCAAAACGTGCACTTGAAATTTTGTTATCTTTTGACACATCGCTCGCTTGGCATGGATTTATATAAGGCGTTTGATCAGGGATTGCTCGAGTTTGTTGGAACGGCGGGAGGGCCGGGGGTAGAGAAGATGACAGATAGAAGAGACCAACAGTTTACACTTTGAAGTTCATTTATTTTAATGAATCTTTGATCCCGCGGTCTTCCCCTGAGACAAGCATTTCTGTCAGTAATTTTCTTTAACGTTTTCCTGTTGGATCTAATTGATCCAATAATTCAGTTAAGGAATAACCATTCCTTAATAGTTTTTTATTACCATGTCACAATCGATAGGCTTTCTCTCAGTCTTTGCCAATAGCTTTGTGACATAAGAGGTGAACTTTTCGATTGGGACCTTTTCAGATTAAAATGGAAAATTGCAATCCCAGATATCCCAGAGGCCGATTCGGCTTCGGTGCAACGGTGCAACACCGTCACCACCATCTCCACAAATAGCAACGAAAACAACCACGAATACCACGACTACAGATGAAATCCGTAAAATCTCCGGATTGGTTTCGATTGATGGTGAAACCTCATCTCTGCGTGTTTCATTTGGCATGAAGGAAATAAAAAATTGATTCAATATGGAAGCAGATAAACATTGTTGTAGAACTGAATAAATGTTGTTACTATTCCTCAGTCTTAAGTGATAAGTGGGAAGAATCATATCAACTTTTTATTTCCCTATCAGGATCATTTTGCACATTCTTCTGAAGCTGAGACACCAAGATGATTATGCACAGCTTTTCGAAGAAACTTACTTTTTCGGTTCCGTTACAGGTTCGATTGCACAGAAAAGTGAGGCAGCATATCACTGGTCTGGAAAGCTACCGGTTCGCGTGTACCGTTCAATGACATTTTCACGGAAGGTATTTCTTGGCGGTGTGCCGTGGGACAGCACAAGCGAGGATCTAGTAATGGCGTTCTCTCGCTTTGGTAACGTAACGGTCTCATGGCCCCAGAAGGACGGCAATCAATATCATCAAGGTCACGTGAAACATCCATCCCCAAAAGGTTTGTTGATTTTAGCGATATATGACAATAAACTAAGACTGATCACACACTTGAATCAGAACTCCGTTCTTGTCAGTACATTTCAACCTGTTTATGCGCAATGAGGAGTGACAATTGATTTGTGTTTTCATTTTTAACTTAGGATATTGCTATTTGATTTACGAACATGAATCTTCGGTGTCCGATTTATTGGCTGCTTGCGTTCGGGATCCAAACAACGGGGGAGATTATTATCGCATCTCTGGTCCAGAATTCAAGTCGAAAAATGTTCAGGTTGGTTCGTGTTCTTACACATTATTTGTAATTTTAAAGTAATCTCTTTGCGATGGTCTACTGAATAATCAATAGACCAGCACATTGATCTGCTTACCTTTCTTTTTATCAGTGTTCTGGAGGAAATGCCCGAAAACGGATAGACCCTAATTGAAATAAAAGTTTCAGATAACTTGCACACACTGCAAAGGTAATAGAACATAGAAATGAGAAAAGTAGAACGTTTACGAAAAAGTAGTTGTAATATATATCCACCCAAACTATCACTTCGCTCAAATTCCTTGAGAATACAACAATGCTTGAAGTATTTTCTTGACTCTGGACCGGGGCTGTGAGAAATGGGATGTTAAATTTCTGGAGGTTTCGTACTAGTCAGACAGATTTGAGAACAAATTCGTACGTCCACAAAGACAGGTATGAGTGACTAACGACCATAGAAAGAGAAATGCGTTAGGAAGGCAACTCCCGCCATTGATTTCGCTGCCACTTTAAGCTGACAGGAAGCAAACCGTCAACCAAATGATCAACAAATGTGTTGGACTACCGAATTATACGGGATGCGTAAGCATCAAATCTACACTGGACCGCGTGCGAATGATCTGTGTTGAAGGAATTTCTTGCAGCTCTATGCAGCTCTGTAAGCCCATGAACACAGAAAATTGACACAACTCCGTGTGACGCCACTCTTTGGTATAAAGGACTGAGGTGATTTCTAATCTTATAAAAGCCACTGTTTATTAGTTTCATCAATGGGTTATTCGCCGCTCCACTGCATCAGTGCGTACTGTTCATTTTCCACACATTAACAGGTACAGGTAAAACACGACCGACAAAAAATTTTTACAAATTGGAGTTAGCTGTGAACTTATGACGGCGTGGAATACCACACAACACCCACAACGGTTGGACCATTTATTGTTAGTCAGTGGACGTCGAACCAAATCTTGGTCGAGCTGGAGTTTGCTAGCGAGATGTGAACATGACGAGCAACAAGACTCTGCTTCAAAACCACAGAGCTACCGCTAATTCCCTTTTGATCTAATTATTCCACTTTTCCACTGTTTTAAGTTACATCATGAGCTTTGTAATGTTGTAATCATTTGTAAAATGAGAAATACCCAGTGAATTTCAAATGTGAATTCGTCGTGTATATAGCAAATGAAGCGTGAACTGAAAAGCTCGGAAGCACTGGACAGCTGTTTCGACCTGGTTGGGTCTCAGNCTGAGACCCAACCAGGTCGAAACAGCTGTCCAGTGCTTCCGAGCTTTTCAGTTCACGCTTCATTTGCTATATACACGACGAATTCACATTTGAAATTTAACCAAATCCCCCATTAATCACATGAAATACCCAGTGAATTATTAGGCGTTTACTAACCCGTAAAATATTTGCTATTTCAAGTTACCTACTTATGAGTAGCCAAAACTGTTGAGTCGCAAAACACCCCAGAAACAGTACACTACATCCAGTGCATACGTCTTGTGCTTACACTTTCCTTTCATTCGTAACTTCAGGTTATACCGTGGGTAATAAGTGACAGCCAGTACACAAAATCTGGTCCCTATCGACCGGACACGAAGCGCACGGTTTTCATTGGTGCATTGCATGGGATGATCACGGCAGAAGCGTTGGTGACAATAATGAACGATTTGTTCGGTAATGTGGTTTTCGCTGCTTTGGATACCGACCGATACAAATATCCTATAGGTGAGCAACCTTCAACATTGATTCGTTTAAAAAATTACACTAATTGAAAGGAAAACGCCAACCTTGTTTGAGCTTATTGAATGAATTGAATTTATACTTGAATTTAACATTTCTATCGTCTCATATACTGCTTCTTATTGCTTTGCTCGCTTACATAATGGTATAGTTGACAAATTATTGAAAATCTGTTCTCGTAGATCGGGTGAACTGAATTCCATTCTATCGTCAGTGCTTGTGATGATGTCACCTCGGCTGTTGTTGCAAAGTTTGCAAACAAATTGTCAAGCTCGGTGAACAGAGGACATGGAATAATGGAATGGTATTTACGTTCTCAAAGGCCTAAAACTAGGGCGCCTCTCCTTGCTCCGGGAACACAAAAGTCCTACGACATAACTATTTTTGATGGTACATTTTTATCTGAAGTTGTGCAACCAGAAACGTATCTTTTATCACCTTGGTACTGTGCTCAAGCAAGCAGTATCTTACCCTTGGTTAGGTCTAACTTGAAAGTATTCTACGAATCCCGCACAATGTACCCAGTCCTAGCAATGCACCTCAGTTGTAGAAAAAACGAGGATTGCGATGTATGCAGTACATGTATTACAGGCGATGATCGATGAACGCCCAAGTAGTATCGGGTACACGGAATCACGCATGCGTCACTATGGTCAACAGTATTTTATCATGTTGATCCTACTGAATGAGGTTATTGGGATCACTGTCGGAAGGCTATAACTCAATCTGTCTACCAATCAACCTTGTAAAGGGTGGTGGCATAGTTGAACTTCTTCATCGAATGAAACCGGCATATCAATCGGTAATTTCAGCAAGTTCACCTTCGTTGTCTGTGTCGTAGGATTTGTATTAGAAGCCAATGCCATTGTGATGTATGTGTGTGTGTGTTTGTGTGTGGGCAAGCTCATCCAGCGTGAATCCGGCTCGTTTGATCATTCAACGCATCCTTCTATTCCATCACATGCTAAGGATTTTAAAGTGTGTGATGAACTATCAAATCGAAGCTGACCTCGATTATCTATGGTTGTGGACTTCGAGAGCGATGCAGTGGAACAAAGGCCAATTTGGAATCAAAGGTTTGAGTTCATTGCGCTCCGTGAGCATTTAGTTCTCGATTTGTAGCGTTGCTATGGTCGTCTGATGTATTAAAAAGCAGTACTGATTGTTTCACAGCATTAGTTTCAAACCAGTTTAATGATCTCTAAGTGTCTTAGTCCTAACCATATTACCGCAACCCAATTGTTGTTGTTGTCGTTGTTGTTGTTGTCGTCGTTGTTGTTGTTATTGTTGTTGTTGTTGATGGTAGTGGTGGTGGTACTGGTCAGGTCCGATGTCATCGAGCGAAATCCAATACAAATACGAGAGAGCTATTGGTGGTTTGTCAAATGAAGTTTAGAAGTCAAGCTTGCCACATACTAGGAAGTCTTCGTAACAATGGGTTTTAGTCCGCTGGGCTTTCCAGCGTGATGAGACATGTAATCTACAACATACCCCAGTAAATTAATTCTTTTAAGGCGTGCTATTGCTGCACCTACACAAACATATGAACTTCTTCCTTCCCATTTTTAATTCCAGGATCGGGACGAGTGGCCTTTTCCAGTCACAAGAGTTATATGCGTGCGGTGACTGCAAACTTTGTGGATGTTCGCACGTCTAAATTTACCAAGACAATCCAAATAGATCCGTACCTAGAAGACGCATATTGTGATAGCTGTGGCACAACTCCTGGAATCTACTTTTGCCGCGCGTTCGACTGCTTCCGCTACTTTTGTCCAGTCTGTTGGCAACTTTGGCATAATTCGACTGAGACGCTGCTCACGCACAAACCACTGCGACGCACATTCAAACCGTTTAGCGATATGCCCTGGTCCACTCCGAACAAATACTGATATCGCAGATAAAATTCTGCTCATCCTCCCAGTATCCGTTCTTTGATAACCGCTTACGTCACCAATTACTCCCATCCATTTCTCTTTATCGTACCACTAAATCTCTGATTCGGTTTCCTATTCCCATCACTCACTTCATCTGATGCACTTTGCCGCCCTTCCAGTACCCATTTTGATTCTTGTGATTCCGCCTTTTATGTTACTCAGTTACCGTGCCCATCCACCCGCCCGACCGCCCTCCAGCACGCAAGTGTGTTGTTTCGTTCGATTTATACATCCAGTTCTCTTTTAAACAGATATAACTGAAGCCCCGCTACCAACCAGTGGCAGCATATTATCCTTTAACAACGTTACCCCAACAATCTGCAAGCGCGCTTCCCGCGGCTGACTTTCACTGATTTTCTTCATTCAGCCCCCTTTCTCCCCCCAGTTTCACCGAGGTCAGGCGCTGGGTTTGTCTTGTTTCTGCACGTTCTCTTTTAAACGGCAGACACGTTGTATACACAACACACGAATTCTACTGGGACCAGGATATCAGTTGACCACAACGTTTCTTCAACACAGCAGTCCCGTTGTTTCTTTTTTTTACAAGCTACCATTTAATACTTCGAGTACTATACAGTCTATTTTTTTTACCGTATCTGATTGCTCTCTCGCTTTATTTGTTCGTCGCCGCCTTCGCACTCTTTGTCCCCAGCTGACGATAAAATGGTGTTTTCCAATTAATTTTCAAAAGTTTATGACTCAAATAGTAGACTTTTCAGCCAAATCATTCGTTATTCATCTCCACCCAACCCCCGCCGCATATTCTCTCTCAATGCCTTGTTCCACACCCATATTGTTTAAATGCGTCCCCGTCTGTATGCTTCCCAGTCCAGTTACTCTTTCTACTACANTTTTACTAAAACAAGCCGTCTTCAAGCTATTGATGTTGACCGTCGCCCCGGCAGTCCGGACTGACCTTCTCAAAGTCACTCAAAGGAATTGTGAATATTACATCATCACCGCCTCGATTGATGAACTGTGGGCGGTACTAAAATCTGGACGACACCGTGCTTTCATCAATCGATTTCGACCATTAGCAAGAAGACTAGCGCACGACTTGGAACACTGCGAGCAAGTTGTTCTCCTCTACCTGCTGAGGGGCATTTATGATTCCGCACCAGTCTTCGGCAACAGAAAACAAAAAAAGTCCGAGTCGAACTCTGTTTTGGGTTTGTTGGATTTTGCTAGACATTCGTGTGTGGTGACAACTTAAATGTCGGGAAAACGTGGTCCTTTAAGGGTGCGTTGACATATCTGACAGTATTCCTGTTTGAACACGAAAAAGACGTAAAATATGAGACTGGAGAACGTTTAAGAACTTGCAACCTTATGCCTTCAAATCATTATCAGCTCCCAGATGACGAATGCGAAGGAAACTTGTGTTCTGAGCGTGGACACAGTGAAGATGTTCAATAAACATTTTGACTGGTTGCCGTTCGCTTATCAGAAGAAGGGAAAATCCAAGAAGTGTAATCATTGTGCCGATTTACTTATATCCTGTAAGATTTTTCTTTATATGCAGATCTAATTCACCTCCAAAGTCTGTCATTATCTTGAAAGTTATTTTCGACTGCTACTTCTTTCAATTATTCATTCTTTCAGCGATTCACCAGATGGTATCCACCTGACTGCAACGGAAAACCGGTACGTGAAAGGTTGTGTAAACTTAAACTAAACCCTGTTTGATATGCGAACCATCAAAACCTGCCCAATACTTGGCGGTCAGTAATCTGCTTAGATGTGGATAAATATCACGATAAGAAAAAAGGGGTCGCATTGGTATTCATCTGATGAAACCTACCGACACTGAGAAGCTGGGATAAACCACAGAAACAGCGACTGGTTTAATGAAAGAAATCAAAAGGAGTTAACGAACGTATTCGTATTGCTGTCATTGATTAAATAGATTTAACTAGTCGCCGTTTGTGTTCCCTTTGAACCAGACGGCTTTCGATTGGTTCAGTGTGTTGCATCCTGATTCACTCTCCCGAAAGTGTAACACGTAGCCCATTGTTTAGCGTTATCTCAGAGGCCTGGATCACCACAGGATAACAACTACTTCACCCAGTGGAAGTCAAAGTTTTATTATGAGAATTACTTACGTGCTCATGCTTCTCTTGTCCCCATAGGATATTTACACAACTGAATCATTACACAGCGAAAACAATCACATACAGTTCCAGGTAGGAGATTTATAGAGAGAATGTGGGCCTCAATGAATTTACGTTTGCTTTAATGGTGTGCAAATGTGAGGTGTGCCAAGGTTTCATCGAGTCTCCCCTTGAAAGACTCAATAGTTGGTGCACACACGACGTGAGATGGAAGAGTGTTCCAAGTAGTGTATACTTTGCCTGCAAAGGATTACCGCTGGCATTCCAGTCGACACTTTGGAATCACTAACCGGAAACGGTGTCTCCTAATATGTAAATTGTTCGGTAAAATGAACAGCAGCTGACATGGATGGTTTGGGTTCTGCAGTATTTGATACGTAAAACCAAGTCTCCTCGAATTCGGTGGTACTGAGCAGAATATAGTTCCAATGATCGTAATCTCTCCTCATAGGTGATGTAATGCAATCCCTTGACCATCTTGGTGATCATCCTTTGTGGACACTCAAGCATCTTGCGATCACGTTGAAGTCATGGACTCCAGGCCTGGATGATGTACTCTGCGCACGGTCGAATGCACACTGAAAGCAAACGTGGGCAGAATGCTGATTCAAACCGACTAAACACTTCACAGTAGCGGACGGAGCCGTAACAGCAGCTTAAATCCTCTTGAACAACAATACCTAAGTCCTTTTCACTAGAAGTGTGTGGTGACAAAGTGAATCGTGTCAGACTAAACAGGATTCAAAACTACCACAGAAGAAGAGGAATACCCATGAAAAACATGGCCACAATATTCCGTAGTGGGACAAATTTGGCCCCGAAAGGTCGAGGTGTTTAGAGGGCATGGGACGTATGTGGTAGCTGCTGATTTTGAGGAAATACGAGGGCCTTCCATTGTGACGTAGGGATAGGACTTCACCATTAGAAACACTGAATTCAATGTCGTTCTCCTTAGACCATTGATAAGCTGCGTTAAGTGATTCTTGAGGTGTTAGAGAGCCCTCATGTTCTTTTTACTGTATTCCAGATTTTGGAGACGTCTGCAAACAGCATTGTTTTCGAACCTAACACGATAGATTATTTATGAATGCGAGGAAAAGACGGGTATCATTGATAGATCTGGACATGGAATCATAAATACCAACTGATATGGTCCGTTGTTGGAGGAATGCTCTAATCCAATCAAATACGAAATCAGAAATACCGTAAATGTAGACCTTCTGTAAAAAGATTCCTTGATTCGCCCGATCAAATGCATTCGAGAAATCGAGACATATCACATCCACCTCATCCCCTTTTTCGATTACTCTGTTTCGCTCATCTCGGAAAAGAAGCAGTTTTAAAATCCAGAATATGTCCATTTTACCATGAGAACACGAATTAAGAGGCGAAGAATTCTTTTCATTGATTCATCTTCTGGCCTGTACAGATCAAATAGGAAAATGGCATTTTGAACGCGGATAGTCATTCAGTCATTCAAAAGTCACGATGATTGATTGAAAGGGAGAGGAATGGGGTGGGGTGGGGGTGGGGGTAGTGCGACGTGTTCCACGCCCCTAGATGATCACCACAACACTACAATCAAACTGTGTGATGCGTTATCCGTGCGATCGATCTTCGGCCATAGTAGTTAAATAGCATGGGCCAATTTCATCTGTGCACATAGTTTGGGTTTGAATAAGCGAATGCCAATCGCTTCCGCAGGGTGTGGAGACGCAGCGACTTGGATGGTTGAGGTGGTACTCGATAGGTGATTTTGAAGACTGATTCAGGCTTCACTTGGTGACCCGAGTCTGCTAGGTGAGCGAGGATAGCGCTTCCTGTGACATCTTTTCCACCGTGTTGAAGCCAGCGTGGGTAGTGCTGTTTAATCCGCTGAGACAGCTGCCTCACCGTTCGGCCAATGGAAGTTGCGTTGCAAACGCAGCTGAAGGAATATATAACCATAAATGAGGCCAGCGTAAGTAGACTGTCTTTATTGGGTGTTCTTATTATTGGTGAGCCAGTGTATACGCATGACAACCTGGCAGCATTGAAGGTTACTCTCACAGCACGCACTAAACGTCTCCTAATCAGATCAGACAGGTCGTCTCCTTTGAATGGCAGTTTAATAAACAGTTTCTTTCTTCGAAGCTTCCTGAACAAGCTCGTGTTTCATTTTTTCTTCTACGTTTTTCTCGATGAACTTTTCAGGGTATCCGTTTTCTCTTAGAAAATATTTTAATCTGATCAAGTTCGTCTGCGAACGTGGATTCGGAGCATATCTTCCGTGCACACGAGACCAGACACTGAATGAGGTTTCTCTTTTGTATAAGCGGTACAAAACTGTGAAAGTTGGTGTACTGTCCGGTCCACGTTTCTTTTCTGTATATCCTTCTTTCAAGTAGTCCATCAGTTCTCCTGTGCAGAGCTACGCCGAGGAATGCTAGTTTGTTATTGTTCTCTGCCTCCAGGGTGAATCTTACGGACTTGTGAGCCTTGTTAAACATTTGCGTGATGAGGGTTAGGTCGTTTTATTTCACAGTTATGCAAAATATGTCATCGACATATCGCTTATAGAATTTCATCTTTCCAATTTCGGATTCTAGGACTGAATTCTCCAGTTTGACCACGAACGCATCTGATAATATCGGTCCTGGTGGAGAGCCCATTGCCACACCATCCTTTTGACGATACAGTTTTCCATTGAATAAAAACTGGACATTGAAAATGCATTTCAGGAGTGACTATCCGCGTTCAAAATGCCATTTTCCTATTTGATCTGTACAGGCCAGAAGATGAATCAATGAAAAGAATTCTTCGCCTTCTAATTCATGTTTTCATGAAGCAGTTTGGTGGAGCATG